CATGATGAGATGTCTTGAGCTTGTCAAACCATAATCCAGTCTTGAGTCAAAGAGATATTGTGAGAAAATCTTGATAAATGAGAGGGAAAATTTTGGGGTACAACAGATGGCATATTATGCATGAAAGAGTATGAAAATTTGGATCAATATTCAGAATATGGTGAGTCGCGCTACAAGTTGAAGAATAATAATGGTGATGACAATGACAATGTTAGTAAGAAATATCCTCCATCTAAAGTGTTATGGTACTTGCCAATAATTTCAAGGTTATAGAGAATTTTTTCTAATGCAACTGAGGCAAAGAATATAAGATGGCATGTAGGCGAAATAAAAATATGATGGAAACATTCGCCATGTAGCTGGTTCTTTGCAATGGAAGAAAATTAATTCATTGTTTCCGGATTTTGGCCTTGAGCTAAGAAACCTTAGGCTTGGGCTTGCCATGGATGGAATGGACCCATTTGGTAATATTAGTACTAACTATTCTTCGTGGCTTGTTCTTCTAACGATTTACAACCTATTTTCCTCCATCATTTTGTGAAATTATGGTTCACTTACTTGTTCATCTAGTCAGAAAAATCAGGTTTTATGGTCCAGTTTATTTAAGATGTGTGTATCCTATAGAGAGATAAGTGAGGATATTTAAAGGATATATGAAGAATCATTACCGGATGGAAGCTTCAATCATTGAAAGGTACATCACAGAAGAAGCTATTGAGTTTGTCCAAACTATTTGTCGAAAATAGAGTCTATTGGAATTCTAAAGTCCCGTCATGCTGATAGATTTTAGGCAAAATACCCTTTTTAGTCCTTTAAGTTTACCCCAAGGTCCATTTTGGTCCTTTATCTAAAAAAAGTGTCAAACTGGTCCTATAATTCTTTCAAAAGGACCACGTTTGTCCTTTCCATCCACTCCGTTAGTCATGTTTAATAGCAGCGCTTATGTGGCATTACACGTGGGTTTAGAAAAATTGCATGTGGAAATTCCACTTAAAATTCAGTTTGACACTCTTATGTGGCATTACCACTCATCCATTGCATGTTTCCTTGAAGGTGAAACTAGACTTCTCATCAGAGGTAAGTTTTTGCAAGAATTCTATTTTCATAGTTAGGGTTTCCATGAAATTCGTCTCCCTTCTCTGAAATTCATCTCTCTATTTAGGGCATTGTGTGTAATGGAGGAAATTCTTAATATTACGATACACCACAGTGGTCAATTTGTTAGTGAGGACTTGAGTGTGTACGAAGGAGGTGAGATTGCTGATTTGAGAGTAGATGCTGATATGTGGGGTTATTTTAAGTTATTGGGTGCTATTAAGGAACTAGGTTACCCAGCCATAGAGAAGATATACTATAAGGATCCAACTGCTGGAATGAATCTGTTGTTTGATGACAAAGGGGCCTTAGAGATTGCTGATCTATATAGGGTTCATTTACGTGTTGAAGTCTTTATTCAACACCCATTGTCACAGCCTGAGTATGTTGATGAGAGTGAAGTTATTTTAGATGAGATACCCCTAAATGTAATGGAAGAGGATGCAGTTAGACAAAATGAGGTAAGTGAGGATGCTGTTGGACAGAAGGAGGCAAGTGAAGATGTTGTTATACAGAAGGAGGCAATTGAAGATGTTGTTGGACAGAAGGAGGCAAGTGAAGATGTTGTTATACAGTATGAGGCAAGTGAAGATGATGTTGGACAGAAGGAGGCAAGTGAAAATGTTGTTGGACAGAATGATGATGATAGTTCTGATGATGATAGCTCTGATGATAGTAGCTTTTCGTATGATAGTGCAAAGGAGGTTGTATTTGATGATGAAACTGATGAGTGTGATACTGACTTGGAAGAGGAAGAAGGTATGGAAGATGTAACTGATCTCTGTGAAACTGAACCAAATAAAGAAGATAGTAAAGGAAGTGATAAAGGAAGTGATAATGAAAGTGAGGATCTTGTAAGTGATTGTGATAGTGAAGATAACAATACTACCAAGAGAAAGAAGTATCCCATTTTCAAGCTTCTAAAGGATATGTCCAATTACAAATGGGAAGTGGGTACATATTTTAGTACAAAAGAAGATATCAAGGAAGCAGTTACCTCTTATGCAGTCCAATCTGGCAGAAATTTAAAGTACATCAAAAATGACAAGATAAGGGTTAGGGTTAGGTGTAAGGATGGATGTGAATGGGAATGTTATTGGGCTAAGTTGGATGTTGAGGATACTTGGCAACTAAGAAAGGTGGTAGACACCCATAGTTGCAGTATAGAATATCATGTGAAGTTGTTGAAGACTAAATGGCTTAGCAAGAGGTTGCAGAATGCACTTAAAACCAACCCTAGATTGAAGCTTAAGGACATTAAGGAAAAGGTGCAGAAGAAGTGGAATGTGGGGGTCAACAAAACCAAGGCTATAAGGGCTAGGTTTGCAGCAAGAGACATGGTTGATGGGTCATTCTTAGGGGATTATACAAGGATTTATGACTATGCACATGAGTTGTTAAGATCTAACCCAGGGTCAACTGTGAAAGTACATGTCCAACCAGCTCAAGAAGGTAGTGGTGTTCAGAAATTACACTTCAAAAGGATTTACATATGTTTGGCAGCTTGTAAGGAAAGCTTCAGGTTAAGTAGACATTTCATAGGGCTTGATGGATGTTTTTTGAAAGGGCTTTGTGGAGGTCAAATCCTATCAGCCATAGGCAGAGATCCCAATGATCAAATGCTACCAATAGCATATGCAGTAGTGGAGAGTGAAAACAAGGAAAGTTGGACAGGGTTCTTGGAGCTGCTTATTGGTGATCTAGGTGGAAGAGAAGAGTGTCTCACATACACTTTTATTTCTGATCAACAAAAGGTATGACTCTATTGTTAATTCTCAATTGATTAGTATTTTTAATAATTAAATTCTCATGTTTATCCTGGTATTCTCATGTTTAATAATTAAATTCTGTACATATCATGACCCAGGGATTATTGCCTGCAATGGAGGAACTGCTGCCTACAGTTGAACAAAGATTATGTGTTAGGCATCTCTACAACAACTTTAGGAAGAGATTTCCAGGAAAAAAACTAAAGGAAATTATATGGAAGGCATCCAAATCAACTTACTACCAAGCTTGGGAAAGAGAGATGAAAGTTATGAAACATATCAATGGAGAAGCATACAAGCACATGATGTCTACCCCTCCAAGGTTTTGGAGCAGATCATACTTCAAGACTCATAACAAATGCGATGCAGTTCTCAATAATATGTCAGAATCCTTTAATAGTGTTATTTTGGAGTCAAGGGCCAAGCCATTAATAACCATGGTGGAAGAAATTAGGATATACATGATGGAGAGATGGGCTACAAACAGGATGAGGTTTCAGAAATTGACAGATGTAGAAGTGTTGCCAAACATTATGAAAAAGGTTGAGAAAACAAGTTCATTTACAAACATGTGGCTTCCCAGGTAAAATTATTAAAACAAGCATTTTTTCTGTGTTAGAATGTCTGACTTTGGAATGTCCATTTGATGTCTTAATTTGGAATGTCCATTTTTCTGTGTTAGGATGTCTGATGAGCATATGTTTGAAGTGAGGCATCTGGAAAATTCTGCTGAAAAATTCACTGTAAACTTGAAGGAAAAAATCTGTTCATGCAGAAGATGGGAGCTAACAGGCCTACCATGTGTTCATTCACTTGCAGCAATCAAGAATAGGAACCATAGGATTGATGAATACATTCCTGATTATTACAGGAAATCTAGATATTTGCAAGTGTACAAACCTGTCATATTCCCTTTTAATGGCTCAAACCTATGGGTTACAACTGAGTACCCTGATGTTATGCCACCCAAATTCAAGAAAATGCCTGGAAGGCCAAAGAAAAGGAGGAATTTAGAGCAAGGTGAGCTAGATGGTACTGATAAAAAGATGAGAAGAACGGGATTCATTATAAAGTGTAGCAGGTGTAAGCAGGTAGGTCACAACAAGCTTACTTGTAAGGTGCCTTCTACTAGTCAGACAACTACTACACAAGTACCACATGCAGGTCAACCATCTGTACCACAAGCACCATCTGTACCACAAGTACCAGTGCCTTCTCAACCATCTCAAGCATCTGTACCAGTGGCATCTGTACCAGTGGCATCTGTACCAGTGGCATCTCAAGCATCTAAGTCAGTTCCTGGTCAAGCTTCTCAGCCATCTCAAACTAAATCATCCAAAAAGTTGTCAGTTAGAAGGCCAAATGCACCATTTGTCCCATCTCAAGCATCTAAGTCAGTTCCTGGTCAAGCTTCTCAGCCATCTCAATCTAAATCATCCAAAAAGTTGTCAGTTAGAAGGCCAAATGCACCATTTGTCCCTCCAGGTCCAACAACGAGGTTAAAGGCATCAATAACTGTTGTAGGTCCAACAACAAGAAGGACAACACCAACTAAAAGAGCAGCACCAAAGTGGAAACTTTAGTTTACTTTTATGTCTGTTTTGGATTAGGATTGGACCTATAGTTGTTATGTTGTTTTGTTAACTTGTAATATTAGAATTGGTTATGTTAAGTTGTTTTGATCATGTAATATCAAGAAGGACAAGTTTTTGTTTTGACCTGTAATATCAGGCTGTTTGGATTGGACCTGTAATATCAAGTTCTTTTGTATGCAACTTAGTGGTATCCACCACCTTATAATTATATGTTGTTACCTATCTTCAATTTCTACAGTATATTGATCAAAATGCTACTAGTTACAATATGTTACATTATGTTTTACATTGATACAAAAATGCTACTAGTTTTACAGTACGTTACATTGATCAAAATGCTACATTGATACAAAAATTGCTACATTATGTTTTACAGTATGTTACATTGATCAAAATGCTACTAGTTCAAAAATTCAAGTTGATACAAAAATTCAAATTCATAATGATACCATGTTCAAATTGAGACTGTGTTACATATGATACTCTATTACACATGATCTCAATTCAACAGTCTATTACAACATCATCCAAATTACCACAACTAACATAATAAAGAAGAATCTTTTCCATTTTTCTGAGAATTCTTCATCTTCTTCATTTCAATTTGTAACTCCATTATCTTATGTTTCAGCCCATCCTTCCTTTCCTTTAGATGATGTATCTCCATCTTTGCTCCATCAAGCTCATTTTGCAGCTTCTCCAACCTATTATTCTGCTTCTTTATAAATTGATCCTTCTCATCCACCACATCATCAAAGAACCATTGAAAGTATCCACACCCAGATTCAGATGAACCCTGTAATGGTGACATCCAGATTCATCTCAGCTATTGCAGGAACTATCAAAACAAGAATATATGAAAACCCATTTTAATTTCATGCTTACCTTGTAATGACGACAACCCCAGAATTGCTTCCCAAAGTTTGTGTCAGTGGTAGCCCTTCGAAGAACCGCAGATTCTCCACAACCACATATAGGTCTCCATCGCAACTTTCCATCTAAGCTTCCATCTCTATTGCAATCGTACGAAGACCGGATCTCTGATGATGCTTCCTTCATCATATTGAGGGAATTTCAAATTCAAAATGGGAAAATTGAGGATTTCTGGAACCCTAGAATTTGAGGATTTCTGGAACCAGCTTGAAGATGATAACATTCCATGTCACCTGCCACGCATGCAAACCAAACGTCCGTTTGTGCCTTTTGGACGGAAAGGACAAACGTGGTCCTTTTGAAAGAATTATAGGACCAGTTTGACACTTTTTTTAGATAAAGGACCAAAATGGACCTTGGGGTAAACTTAAAGGACTAAAAAGGGTATTTTCCCTAGATTTTATGGTACATATACTCAAGGTTTAAATGTTAAGACAATGAGTCAAGGTGTTCTTAAAGCACATTTCTGTATATTGAATAATCTTAGTGTAGTTGAACCTTACATATAAGAACACAAAACAATTATAAAGAAAAAATATCCTCGAATGCATGACAAGTGGTTGTTGACACATCATAACAAGAAATTCGTAAGTTAGTTTAATAAGAGGGTTTCTAATGATAATGGTTTATCCGTGACACTTAAATATTTGTCGTACATGCCAAAATTTACTGCGATAACTTGGACGAAATACAAAATATCTAATTATTCCTTTTATACAAAAGCAAAAGATGATTATATCATAATGCAAAATAGTAAGGTTATGAATGAGGCGGAATCCATATATTTCTCTTGTTTGAAAGATAAGAATACTATTTTTGCAACCATTGTGTTCTATGGCATCATAGAAGATATTTTTGAGATTGATTATGTTAATTTCAAAGGGGGGTCCCTAATAATAATGGTGTACAAACTGATGAGTTAGAATAAACACGGTTTGACCTTGGCAAGGAAACTTATAAGATTAAACTATTTATCATGGCTACTCAAGCGAAACAAGTTTTTTATGTCACATACCTTGCGGACTTATCGGGGAAATGTTTAATTGTTCTCAAAGGAAAACACATTCCTCATAATGATGATGAAAAGTTTGATATTGTAGCCACTCCTTCTTACGCAACACAAGTGCCTAATTTATATGAAGAAGTTGATAGAGATGATGTGAATGTTATTCATAACGATCGTCAAGAAGGAATATGGGAAAAATAACAAGTAAGTACCTTATTGTTGTACCCCAAAATTTACCCTCTTCATTTCAATCCTAATTAGCTTATGTTTATCTAACAACACATGCATTCATATCATTGGTTCTATGGTTATGGGATCAAGGTATCTTTTAATTGGTCTTCTTCAAGCATTAGAAGATATTAAATGATCAATCAGTGCAAAGAGGATCCAATATCCTCATTCTCAAGGCTCGCTCAAGCTACAAGGGTTTTTCATGCCCCCAGACATCCCAATATGTCCATTTTGTTATCAGATTAATGAATTTGCTAAAGATTTAAAGTGAATCTCACTTCCCCTATCCATCTCCTAGAATTAGGGTTTTAAACAATTGAAGTGTGTGGCGTCAATGTGTACCAAATTCTTTAAGTATTATCTTTTCATCATCATATGAAACATCTTTGCTCAAGATATTGTTCATCGTACTCAGAGGAATTAGGGTTTTGAGCTTGGGGCTTTACCTCCTAACGCAATCAGTCAAAACTAGCGTTTCTGATAAAATCAGGATATCTCGAATTTTTTGAGCAACACTTGATTCCATGCTTCTCTACGCGTCCTTAAGCATCTATGATTGGAAGATTGAACATAAATTTTGATTGGAAGAGGATCAATTGCACAATTAATTGAAATTTAATTGAATTGGGGAAAAGTCAGTTAAACAAATGAAAAAGTCAACTCCTGACTTTTTGAGGTTAACATGGTGTTCAACATGTAAAAATTGGTTAGCATGTGCAATTTTATCAAGAAATTCCAAGGGAATCATAAAAAATCAAAATTTGAAAAAGTTACTTAATTTGGAAATTCTAGGGTTTTCTAAACTTTCCATTTTTAGTAAGCTTTTAAGCTATTATAGTGATCTTCATGGCTGAATTACCAAAGGATGCAAGCTTCAATGCAAATTTCTTTCAACATGAAAATGATTCATCTTTATCTGATCTTTCCAACCATGTGAGTTTCATCACCATTAGATCAAAATTGAATCAGTTATGGGGCTTCAAAGAGAGACACTTATGAGAAAATTTTCCAATACTTCGAATTTTTTATAAGTTATCTCATAATCAGAATTTTGTGTTGCATTCTTGCTCGAGTTCAGTCTTCTTCCCATCTTTGTTTTTTGATGACATCAACACAAAAGTTGAAGACAATGCTTTCCTCTGCAACTTTTCTTTAGAAATTTTTTCAATTAAGTCCATGAGTTGAGAGATATAAAGCTTGAAAGTTTAATGTTCAGGAGTTTTGGAAATCTCAACACTTAGTGAGAATTTTGAACACATGATCAATTTCATCTTCATGATTAGAAAGGCAATCTTCTCTATGATAAAGGATTCATCTTAATTTTAATTAACATAGAAGTTGTTCTACACATTCCTAGGTTTTCATTAAGCTCAGAATCTCGTCATTTGATCCATTTAATCTCAAGTTATACTCGTTCAAAATTGAGTCATTCAAGTTGTTGAAAATTGCAAAAAGTTAGCAAAATTTCTCTAAGTTACTACTCAGCTTCAAACATCAATCTTCGATGGCATGTTTCTTCAAGTTCCAAGTCTCAATTCCATTTTCTCCAACACCAATTGTGTTCATCTTGTTACCATCTTTCTCTAAAACCCAAGATCGTGTCATATGGGTCAATATTCATGGAATTAAAAAGCTTTGAAGGTGGAAGTTTGTGATGTTTTCAAATGCATTTAATATGTAGTATCCTGGCACATTCCATAAATTTTTTGCCACGGGCTTAGGATTGATCATTTCCACACGCATTCTACTAACTTTCTTTACCCAAAATATGCCAGCACTTTCTTTCTCATGCATGCATACATGCTAAAAGAATTGCAAATTAAGGAAAAGGTGATGTCACCACAAAGTTGCACTACCCTCTATCTCTCTCTCTCTCTCTCTCTCTCTCTCTCTCTCTCTCTCTCTCTCTCTCTCTCTCTCTCTCTCTCTCTCTCTCTCTCTCTTGTCATACCCCAAATTTGTCCTACCCTTATATTATACTTAGCTTTTTATTTGAATAAATCACATTATGTAGCTTTTATTTCTATGGGGGGGAGTAAAACATGGAAAAGGGGTGCCACGATTTAAAATGGACCATCAATATCTGATGGATCATTAGGTTTTAAAAAATAGGAGTCCATTTCAAGGGAGATGTATTTTTTTAACCTAGGTGGTATGAACAAATCTTTTTTTTTCTACATTAAAGCCCATTAAGGTCTCATTCCTTTTTTAGAAAGGGTGTATAAAACAATTTTGTTTTTGTTAAGGATCAATAATGAAACAATATGGCCTAGTAAGGTTTTCAGACCAGCCCATTAATTTATTAAGGTTTTTTTTTTAAGATAAGGGGTGTATGTTCTTTTTTGTCATAAAAAGAGGGCCCAATGAGAGGGCCCATTCAGTCTTGATTTGTTATAAGATCTGTTATGTTTTAAAATATTATTATTATTTTATAATTATTATCAATATTTATTTATTTTTTAACTGTTTTTTATTTAACACTTTATTAAGAGTTTTCTGTTTTATTTTTAAATTCAAAATTGAGATAAGGAGGCTGGTTTTTCGCATGGTCCAAAGCCCAAGTCTAGTCAAAAACACGCAGAGGCCCAATATGGAGGCCCGATGAGTTTAGATTTGCTATTTTTTTAGTTATTATTTTTTATTATGATTTAATTTTAACATACTAGTTTGGTTCATTTGAAAAAAAAAAGAGTGTTTAAGAATGAGGCCCAAATGATGAGCCCAATTCAAATGAATTTTTTGTTTTGTGACAACAACAAGCGCATAGCCCAACACATCCATTAATGGGCATTGTTTTGATCGAATAAAAAACTTATAGGTTCTGCTATCTCAAACAAATAATGTACATATTGAAATGATTAACAAATGAATAATACTACATTCAAACAGAATCAAGAACAAATTAATACAGTCCAGAACCAATTATAGAAACTTTGTTATTTCATCGGTACAGAACCAAGCAAATGCAGTAACTTATTAATTTGCATCAATAAAAAAACAGAAATAGTTTACATTGTTCTCAAATTACAGACATAATTTAAACAATTTCCTAAACTAAAATCAAAACCCTAATTGCTACAAATTTAATTTACAGACAAACCTAATTGATTCCTAATATATAATTCCTAAAAATCTATAAAAACCTAAAACAAACTACAGAAAAGGGGATGGACAGAAATTCAAAAGAAAGGAATATACTATTACATAGGGGGAAAACAGAAAATCAGAAGAGAATGGGGAGAAATTTTGTTAAAGAAGGAAGGAGACGGAAATATCATTGACCCAATCACCTTGCCACTAGCTCCCGAACTCGTCGTTCTGGCCTAGGGTTTCAATATCTGAAACCTAGCTCCCCTTTGAGCACATCTGTACAAATCATACACGATACCGTAGTACCTGAAAGACAAGAAGAAGATAGATAATAGATCGCACGAAATCAGAGGAAGACGAAGACAATTCACACACAAAGAGTTAATTTCTAAAACACTTAGCATTAGGGGTATTTTTCTTGTTGCGTTTTTTGTAGGTTTGGGGTTTTAGGGTTATGATTGGTTTGTATGTTATGGTTGTTACGCTGGAGAATGGTTTTTTTGCATCGTCGCCGCCGCCGGATAAGACCTAGGGTTTGTATCGTGGTGAGAGAGCAAAGAGCGTGAGAGAGAGAAGAAGACGGATTGGAAAAGAAGAATAAAATAATAAAAATGATTTTGTTTTATAAAAACAAAATATAACTTTTTCTAAAATCACATGTGTATCCCCTCATCGTGTTACCACGTTTCCTTCGATCTCAGCCTCACGATCACCATCAGACAATAGAAAATGCATGTCCATTGTGTCATCCTATGCTCTCTCCACACCTGATCTGAACGGATAAAAAATGTAATCATTGGGC